CTCACTGGCCTTAGGAACCTCGCTATTTAATGACAGTCTCTTCTGTAACTCTTGAGGCCTCAATACCTCATCTGGCTTTGTCGCTTTTCTCTCTATGGTTGTCATGAGAGTATATGCATAGCTTACCTCACATGAAGAAGTGTGAGGTGAAAAAAATTCACAATTTGAATAGCCAAAGAGCTATGCAAATGCCAGCTGCACCCTGGGCTAGTGTCAGACTGACCACAAGTGGTGATTCACCAGCTGCTGTCTGCCATCCAGATTTCTCAATGCCTCCTGATTCCCTTCCCAAGTCTGCAGAAGGAAGTCCGCTTCAATTGTGTAAGGCTGATTTTTCCCACAAGTTGCATCTTTCCCCCAAGTCAGGAATCTGAACCATTTAACCTCTCTGGGCCTCAGTTTTCTCACATGAAGATGCAAATAAAAATCTCAGGTCTACTTAACTTACATGCGAAGGCTATAATGGGATGCATTTAAAAAGGTGCTTTTAAAAAGAAGGTATTATACAAATAAGGTTTGTTGTTGGAATATGTCCTACAATTAATTCAAAAATCCACCAAGCAACCTAAAGACCTCTTGGATTTCACCAGTTCCTCATGATGAACTGTAATGAGGGCACCTACTTTTCTTTGACACTACAGGGGTGAACGCGGCAGAGTGTATGCGTATATGTCGTCATGGGCGTGTTTTGATTCAGTTCAGCCCAACTCCTTAACACACTAAAGCCTTTTATTACTGGTGTCTGCTTTCGAAGTTCCTTCAGTTAGAAAATGTGGAATATTATCCAAGAGAAATACATATAAGGCAAAAGGAAAACATGGAAACATGCTTCCTCAGAAGGTTAGCACTAGCTCCTGTCTTCTGGAACATTTCTTCTCCTCAGCTATCAGAATGAACATCTGCACTAGAAAATGTAGTGAAGAGGGAAGGTGCATTTGCTTCAGAAGCTTGCTGATGTGTTCTTACAGTTACAGAGTGTCATCTTGGAGGGATTCTTCTGTGTGATTAATCCATAATGGGGCTGATTTACCAAATCAGGCAGGATGTGGTTTAGAAGCCAACTGCTTTCTGTTCTTTTGGAATAAGTGAAGGCATACATAATCTAGTGCCAAAATTTTTCCCACAAAATACAATGCCCTCAAATTTGTAGAGGAGTCAAGTCCAGCTTGAATAGGTTTGTCAAGTAATTCTATGTCTAAAGTCACTGGAGGGTGTGGTAATCGATTAGTCCCTGGTGCCATTTTTATTTCTTTGGATTAACAAAACTCATATTCCATCCAGGCATTATGTCTCTGCCTTTTTTTTCCTTCTTGTCTCCTGGCATTTTAATCAGGGAAAAGTCACAGTTGTTTTGAGGAAAGCACTCCCAAGAGCTTTAATTAAAGCTAGAAGGATAAATCTGTTTACAGTGTGGTGAACACTATCATTAATAAAACATTGAAATAATTAACGAATTAAATTCTGCTTTGTATGTGAATAGCTACACTTAGGATCTATAAGAACATGTCTCCTGAACAGACATATTTGCTATGCACAATCTACAGAGACAAAAAGAAAAAAACTGAGACTGTGTTTCTTTGAGATGCACAGTATTGTAGATTACTAGAGCAAGAATGGAGAAGGTGATATTATCTTAATTTTATAGGAAAAGAAACTCAGTTTCAATGAGATTAAAGCATGGGCTCTAATGATGTGCTTGAAAATTAAGATTTTTTATAGTGCCACTGAGTCTCCACTTTGAATCCTTGATTGTTTAACCAGAAACAAAATTAAAAAAAAAAAAGATTAAATTAATAATAAGATAAGCAGCTCTAGGACACAGAATGGAATGGAATATTCTGAAAAAAAAAAGGTGTGGGGCGGGGGGGACAAATTTTACAGTGTGATGAACTCTGCCATTGACAATGAAGAGGTTTTAGCCGGTCAGGATATAAAGTGGCCTTTGAAGCAGGATGTGACCATGTGCGGACCTCCAAGTCGGGACTTCCCTTAGTGCTCCTTCTCACTAAACTGTTGCCTCTTGTTTTTAAGCTTTCTGGCAGATCACAGATCTCACAGGAAGCATCAACTTGGATGTTCATATCGACAGTTAATGGTGCATTGTTTTTTTTTGTCACTCAGTAATTTCCTAGAGAAAACAATGGGAACCGAAAACTGTTCCTGTCTTGAAGGAAAGTCAGCTTCCAATATTGCCTTATTAATTTAACACATGCACGTGTTTGTCCTTGTTGCTAGAGCAACGTGGGGTATATTTGATGCGAAATGTGAAAAAGCTGAAAAAGAAAACAAATGCCATCCGCATACTGATGCGCTCAGAAACAGAAATGTGTGTGAGCTAACGTTCCTGTGATCGGAGGTCTGAGCCTCTTGCCCTCAGTCCAATTATGCTGTACTTGTTGGTTAATTTATAAAGTGTCTATCCAATGAAAACAAGGAGCTAACCACTTCCAAGTAGTTTCAGAAAAGCTGGAAACACATGAAATTATTCATAATTAGGTGATGGGTGTATGTTAGGTGCTACCACCATGTACGCAGACATGACAAGCATGTAAATGAGTCCACTGAGCTCTAGAAGGAGAAAAAATCATTTTATCTCAAGGAGAACTGACATTAAGCTTTTCTGACATGCACTGTCTAGAAGGATGGAGGAGCAAGGGTTCTGCATTCTAAGTGTAGACGCAATACACACCCAACTCATCTTGGTGTGAGCCTTCTTAGCAGGAGGAAAAGTACAAAGGGAGGTGAGTGATGCTTCACCAGGTACACCAGAATCGACAGAGATGGTAATGAATGACAAAGATGGAATGTACTGAAGTGTAAAGAAGCAGGCGTTGGAGTCCCACAGACCCCGGCCACTAACTGTGATCTGGGACATTTACTAATCTCTCCGAACCTCGGTGTCCTCATTTTTAAAGTGAAGATAATTGTAACTCCTTCAAGGATTGCCATGAGTATTAAATAAAAAGATGTCAAGTACTACTCAGCGGTCAGGCTGCATAGTAAGCACTCAATAAATGGTAACTGTTCTATGAATGGCACAATTGTCATTTGTGCTATTCACCAACTATTTCTAGCTCTTTTCCCTTGAGCACATGTTGAATTGCTGCCCCTCAGACGCTTAATGTGGTTGTGGGATGTGCTTTGGCAGTAAAATATGGGTGGAAGTGCTCTTTTCGAGGGAATCGAAGAGCCAGCATGCTCTGCCATGCTCTTTCTCTCTCAGCCTTGGTGGAGGGCAACATTTCAGATGACAGCCATTCAGATGGAGCCAACCAGAGATGGAAGGTAGCATGAGCAAAAGATAAACCTTCTTGTTTTGGTTACTTTGCTTCTCTTGACCTTGCTTTGGTAGAAAGTGTTGAAACATTTGAGATTTTTTTTTTCCTTCGGGGCAATCTCAAATTATGCCTAACTCCCGAGAATTACGTAAATCCTGTCCTGTTGTCAGATGCTTTGTGAGAGCCCATTTTGCCTCCATGTTTCTACCGACAGAATTGCTTTGCACAGAAGAATTGCTATAGTTGCAGTTTCAGATCTCTTGCAAGACCAATGTCCCTAAATTATTGAGCACTCTCCACATTACGGAGAATAGGACAACATTACCATGCAAACATGCTTAGCATTGCAAAATGTAAGCTTTCCTCTAGAGGCGTGTCTTGTCAATCACATGAACTGCTTGTTGGTTTGGGGATGTGGAAAAACAAGTTACCAAGAGCTATTTTGACATAGGCAAATTCATTTCTTTTCTGACTTAATCTAGAGCTGGATTCAGCAGTCCCAGGGTAAAAGTCTCATCTTTTCTCACCCTCTGCATATTTCTCAGTGTTATCATTTAGAGGTTAGCATGAGTTCAGTCTTCTGTAATAGGCCATTTCGCTTTAAGTGTATGTTAAACTAATATTGACCTTTCCAAAGTAAAACAAAATCTGGTATTTGTGCTCAAAAGACTGAAACAGCGATGGATGTGGAAAGTAGGGGATTAATCATCTTGGATTTTTTCTTGCTTAGAAACTCTCTTTGGGAATTAGTCATTTTTTATATATCTAGCAATGAAGGTAAGGCAAGCATTGCCTACACTCTTAAAAAGGAAGCCTAGATCCTTCACCAAATAGCTTTGTATAATTTGCCCACAGTTTAACCCACTCAGACAGATGTGTATGCATCATTTGACAATGGGTGAAAAAGTCAAGGATGCTGAGCATCAAGCCTCAGGTGGGAATATCCAGACATCGTGGTTAGGCACGTTTGGATTGGGAGAGGTGCTAGGAATAGGTCCAGAGATGAGTGATGGGTGTGGGGTATAGTGGGGGGAGGAGGGTCTGTAGGGAATATAAGGATTATTGCAGAGAAGGGAATGTCACAGCAAAGTGAGAAAAACAGAAGCAATTTCACTAATAAGAATCCAAATATGTATATTTCATACATGTGTGGTATCCATAATTCACAGAGACCAGTGCCACCCAGCCCTCCCCCACTCCCCCCGCTCCGCCAATAAACTGCCTCCTGGGCATGTGCTAGATTGACCTATGTGGAAAAGTGAACCTCAATCCCCTTTTTCTCTTCTTCTACCTGAATAAACAAACAAATAGAAAACCATGTACTTTGAAACACTTATTTCATGCAAGTCTGCAAGTAGGGTTAAAATATTTCATCAAGGAAATAAACATCTGTTGAAGTAGGAAGCATATCAATAAAAAATGTGTAGTTCTTAGGAAAAATCAGATCTTTCAGTGTTACCAAAGTGAGACATCTGTGCTCAAATTCTGTGAAGAGTCCTATATAAGTATCTGAGAAGATAAATACATTTGCAGGGATGTCATCCGGGACTGCTTTTCCCTGACGGTGTGCCATCGTGACATGATGCTTCTACAGAGTGATTAGATGTGGTGCCCACTGTCCTTCTCTTCTCACGTAAGGCATTTAGCACGGCGCTGTTCCCCGCCCCACCCCCAACCTTTCTAGATGACCAAAATGTTTTTAACCTTAAATGTGATACATACCTGTATCCACTCTCTGTAGGAATCTTCTCCGGGAGTCCACCCGTTCTCAGGGTAATTCAGGCGTGAGCGTTCTGGAGACCAGTTGATACTATACTGGGAAGAAGCTATGATTTGATCAGAATGAATCTCTCCTGATTCCATGCCCAGAGCTTCCATGCATTTGAAATCTGAAGGGGGAAAAAATGGCCCAGTGTCATCAAAACACAGGGGATCCAGGACACGTCTTTTTTTAGGCTGGCAGACTGAAAATGTTCATTTTGTATTCACACACAGTTTTATGAAAGATGACATAGCACTATACATGCATTTTCATGGCAATAATTTTTGTTTTTATTTTGTTTGTTCATTTGGTTTTTAAATTTCATATGAGATAAATCATAAAGTATTTGTCTTTCTCCGACTTATTTCATTTAGCATAATAACCTCTAGTTCCTTCTATTTTGTCACAAATGATAAGATTTCATTATTTTTTATAGATGAGTAATATTCCATTGTACATATGTATTACATCTTTTTTATTTACTTGTCTATTGATGGACATTTAGGTTCATGGCAATACTTTTAAAAGCAAGGCTATGAAGGTCTCATAGTGATTAATTATTTTCTCAACTGGACCTAAATCAACAGAAATACTATTAGAAATTTATTAGGAAATGACAAAAATTCTGATTTATTTTCAAAGTTGAATGTATGTAGAGATGTCATGTGGGCACACACTGAAAATTGTGTTTCAATAAAATTTTACTATTGAATTATTTTCCCCAATATCTAATGAAAGCGAAAAAAGCCTCTATGTCCATTTACAATCCATATTCAGTGGACACTATAACTCAACTCTCTGTCTTTCAGATTCTTTGCAGTTGGCACAGAGGCCACTTCTTCCTGACTCTCTTTGTTCTCACGCCCCCTGCTCATCATTATCAACATCAGTTTATTTTATTAAAACACAAAAGTATCAATCAGTGGTAAACTGTAGTATCATATGGTCCCAAAGAGCATCGCAATTTTAAAGTGTAAAATAATAATGCTCACAACGATGACCACATATTCCATCAAAGTACTAAAGTGAAAAAAAGCTTTAGAGATGAAATAGAAGATTCTCAACCATCCAGAAAATCTCAACTAACCAAAACTTTACGTATTCCAAATTTTCTATCACAATAAGTAAATCTGTATTGCATAAAAGGTTTTCATTCACTTGTTTCATACTTTTAAGGTTATGTTTGTTATTTGTAATATAAAAAATATTTATAGGCACAAAAATACATAAATTAACCAACTAAGTTAATTAAAAATAAGTTTTTGAAATTTAATTGGCCTTTTAATTTTCCTGTAAGATCCAGTAGAAAATATATGAGCGTATGTGTAGAACAGTTGCCAAACACTTCCTGTCTTCTCTCTCCGTGCCATTTTACAACCTCGCAGCTAGAACTGATGAAACACACAATTTTTCACAGTTCTTTCAGTTTTTTTTTCCCTTGGGTCCTTAGAGCCCACATAAACTTTGAGAAAGGGTTAGTTTAGTTAGAGTATTTTAATAAGGCAGAATATATATATATATATATATATATTTTTCCTTGTATGCCAAGTTATAACAGAAATTAAAACATCCTTCTTTTAGGTAAGTATCTACTTTCATTCCCAAAAGAAGGAAAAACAAAATGGCTTTCACCGCTGTCTTCACAAACCAAACCACCACACATCATCCATTCTACACGACTGCAGAGAATGGTGGTTTGATGAACTACAGCAGAATTGTTCTCAGTCATCCATGATCGATGCCTGTCCTTTTATGAATCTCAGCACAACACACATTTGAGGGTGCCAGGTAGGTGGTCTGGTATATTTCATTGTTTCAAGCCACTGTTTTTCCATTTTCCACTTTCTCTCATAATTTCAGAAGCTTACAAGCAGCCTTTTTGTACACAATTTTATTAAGAAAGCACATCAGATAGTTCTTCGTAATGATATTCACAAAATCCATTTAAAAGAGAAAAATAAACATTTGGCACTCCAATTCACGAAACATTTCTTCAGTGTTCCATGTGGCCACAGGTGTGTGAGGAGAAAGAACATGGGCTTTGCGAGATGAATAGACACTGACCTTCTGAGACGCTGCTCTGCAGGACACTGTAGTTGGCCGAGAAGCCTTCCTTTGCTATGGCGCTGTCGGTATAAAAAACCATGGACAGGATGCCCGATGAGGAACGAATTCGACCTGGTGTTTTCTGTCCGCAGTAACGGCCAATGTGAGGGCCGACTGGAAAGGGAGAAATGCAGAGAACATTAACATATCTTTCCTTCTATGGCAGATACAAAAATAACCATTTGCAAACCTGGGTCCCAGCAGAACCTAGAAGTGTTTTCCTACGCAAATCAAGTCTTCCCCGGTTAATTGCTTTGCAGTGAACATATTGGATCAGGTTTGCGGAGAGGATTTCCAAGTGTGCTCAGAAGGGCAATAACAGGCATAACTACGTTCCCCGGGAACAGGAACCGAATCGAAATGCTTGCTTCAGCTGCAAGGAATGAAATTTGGGCTGTAAAGTGCCACCTTGGCATTCATCTCCAGGACCAGACTGCACACATAGTCCAGCGCAGAAAGACTCCAGCTAGGCTGCGGTCAGTGAGGTCTTTTGGAGATGCCTATTCTCACTCCTCCACCCTAGAAGGAGATCCTGGGGAAGGCCTGAGTCCTAGGAACCTGTCTGGAACCAGAGCAGTACCAAGGGTCTAACCCAGTTCCGCATGACTCCAATTTCCTTCCTCATTCCATCTTTTAGTCTTTATGACAAACATCACTGACTTGGATGAAGGAAAATAGGTCATGTCCTACTCAGGACTTAATCTGAAGACTAGTTAATAATTGTAACAATTAAAAAATTTAGACACTATGGATACTGATAATTTTTCATAACAGCAAGTTATAATCAAAATGAAAGGAAAATACAGCTTTCTGAGTTCTGTCCCAATTTTCTTGCTCCTAAACCTAAGAGAGGTAACTGTGTTGCACTGGTGTCCAGTGACCTAGAGATGGCCCAAAGCAGCCATTTGTGCACCTGAGGCAAAAAGTAGCATGTCAGGCAGTGAAAGTTAGGGAACGCTGACTGACTTGTGATAAAGTTAAATTGCTATTTGGCTTAACTGGCCACAAACTCGTTGAAGAGCTTTTACACAAACCTTGGCAATTAGTAACTGTAAGTTGCCTTATGGATGGTGCAGAAGCCCTCTGGGCTTGGAGACTCTTTTCATTTTTCTGTCCAGATCAGCAGCAAGACAAAAAAAAAGTCTCATTTTCTCTAGGTTTTCTCATTGCACATATGGTAAGATCATAGCAGACGGTTTGGGCTTAGAAGGACAATCTGGTGTGGACTGCTTTTCCCCTCCAAGAAATCCATGCTTCTGTGCATTTCAACTACAAGTTATTGCTTTGCTCAAGGAAGCAGAGTAGGTGGACCTGTCATTGGCAGGATGGGCCTTCGACAGGGATATGATGTTCCAAGGACTGTGTGTGCGGCTTGGATGCAGCTCGGAGAAGCTCCAAATGTGATCAAAAAAGTGAACCTTACAAGAAGTGATCTCCCTGGAGCCCCACTTACCAGCTGAGTTCCCAGCTGGCACCTAATGTGAGCTCAGATCCTTGGCTAATAGGTTTTCAGCTCTTGGTCAGCCCTCTTAAAAAACAAATAAATAAACAAACAAAAAAACCAAAAACACCTAACCCAAAGTGGTTTACATATTTGAGTCAGTGCAAAATGGTTATTTTGACTATCTGATAACTTCTCCACGCATTCAATGTAATTGATTTGACTATTTCAAAGAGTTTTCTTTCTACTGTAATCCCTCACTCTCCAGCAACCAAATATTTTATGTACGTAGACTGCTTTATTAGGAAGAAAACAAGGACCCCTCTAGGAGAATTGATACAGATTCTCTACAGGACATCACATGGTTATGGACAGTGGCTTTGAATTATGGGAGAAACATTTTGTTATGTTAGGCTTCCCAGCTGGCAGAAGAAAGCATCTCAGAAGATGAAGCTCTTGCTACTTTTTTGGTTTCTTTTCAGCTTTAATCCTGGCTTCGGATTCTCCTACCAGTACTCGTTTTTTGCCAGATTTTCCTCATTCTGAATGTAGCCCTACCACAATCCAACACTTTCTTTCTTCACTATGGAGTGCAAAGTTGCCCATAACATATTCATGAAAATATCTGGCTAGAATCACTTCTGGTCTTCAATCAGGCTTAGAGTCCATTCATACTTCTTCATTTAAATTCCATTATTGTGGTTTCATAACTTTTTCGTTCTGTAGTTGTGGGCAAACTTTTACAGTCCTGATCTTTGGGGTCATTCTCTGATCACCGCGGCCGTTGACCTTGCCAAGAATACAAGGGCATAAGGGAAGCTGCAGTCACCTTTAGCTATGACTGCTGATCCTCCCCCTCCGCTATCACTCAATTCCTCTGGGAAGGGTGGGGGGTGTCTCTTTGAAAGAGCTAACAGAAGAGAACTTGTCTAGTGCAGACTCATAATTTAGAGTCTCCATGACTCACTGGTGTATAATGTGTGAGACACGCTGCGTAAATCTGCCTCTGTCCTTTCAGATCGTTGCCTCCGGACAGCAGCGCGCTGCTCTCTCCAGGAGCCCTCAAGATATGAGAGTGACAGGCTTTTTCGACCATAATACAAAGAAGTATTGAATTTTTCTGAACAACAGTGAGATTTTGGCCCAGCAAGCTAATGCAATATTGATCTGAGGGAGAGTGGGTGAAATACTCTTGTCCGTCTCGGGTATATGCTCATTTGTGTATTTACATGAACATAGCGAGTGGGTTTCTTCCTTCTGTTCTTGTGGACCCAATGGCCAAGAGAAGAAATGAAAACAGTCACAAAAACAGAAGTATGGTTCAAAAATTGAATTATTGAAGAATTTAAGTAAGCATCATGTACTAAGTTGTCTTTGGGGGGAGAGAAAGCCAACAAATACCGTGTCTTCTCAGGTGTGAAGCCAATATAGTATTTGTGTGGTTTAAAAGATATACATGCAACTGGGAATGGCAATATCCCATTCTTTATATTTTCTGTTAATCTCTCCAATAATTATAACCCTACTTCAGAATCAGACAATTTGGCTTTCCGTGAAAAAAGGGCAATGATCTGCTATAAAAAGGCATTTTTAAAATGAGGTATTTTGAATAAACAAAAAAGGGAATGATTTCAAAAAGTTACAAGACAGTCCATGTACACTCGTTGTACAATAATAAATATTTTAGTGGAGAATATCTGGACTTTGCAACTTTTCCCCAGATAAAAATTTGCACATTTATATCATTTATATTTCGGAATGTTTATATCATTTATATTTTATATTTATAACTTAGAAGGTTAATTTTAATATCAAAGTGAACTTAAAAGATAACTTTTATGAAACTTATTCCTAAAATCATTAATAAAATTTAGAATGTAGGTAGCAACGGCAGCCCAGCTTCTTCTCCCAGCATAGGAGGGGAGCCGCGTGGTGTGAGTTACACATTCATGCTTGGCTCATAATCCAGCACAAGCACTTGTGGCATCGACCAGGCAGCATACTTAGCTCATGGCTCTCAAACCACATGTAAACTTCCCCGATTACTTCAGAGTTGCTACTTGTGACTCTATAGAGCTTCAAAGAATGTGATAGATGGAGACGTGTGATTCACAACGTGCATGCCTCAGATTTCCAGTTTTTGAGTAAACTGCTTTCCTTCAAAGTCAATCTGAATCAATGGGTAGCTTTCAATTACTTAGTCATCTAATTCAATGTTTATGATAAAATGCAACATAAAATCACTTGACGGTTAAAAGCCTTCAGCGCCTTCTGGTTGTTGTTTTTGGAAAGGATATCAAAGACTAAAAGCAATTTTGCTGGCAGAGGAACTGCATGTGTTGAACCACTATGATGAAAATGTTTCTAGTGTCACTGACAAAAACCCAGGAGCATACAGTCTCTCATTTTGCCTAAAAAAAGAGAGAACTGCTACACTGACACAGGCTGGATGAGGCCAGGTAAATATTAATAAGCATTCAAACACAATTTTCACATTCCAAAGCCAGTTTTCTCTGGGAATAAGTCAAATGTACCATAGTTTAAAATGTGGGTGAGTTGCAAGGCTGATAACTCTTACTGTCAATTGTTCTTCACTTTAACTCGGTGATTTTTCCAAAGCCAGAAAATTACCGCTTTGAAAACCCCTTGACACTAATAACAATGTGCTTCTTTCTGAAAGTATTCTAAATAAGTTAGTTGATTAGACCTCCTTTCAGATGTCAATTTAAATGTAAGTTCTAGAAAGGAAGGCTACGCGTTTGGGTTGTGAACAAATAAACCCATTATTAAATGTTCCAACTATTATTACAATACTATTATAATATTGTTTCCCTAATTATCAGATTGAATACTTGGAAATCAATCAGTAGTCTGTTTGGGCAAATCTCATTACTTAATGAAGTAATTTCGATAAGATCATCATAACCCTATTTTCATGGTAAGAGAGCAAAGAAGCAACTAAAGTAATGTTAACCCATTTATTCCAATGACAATATAAGCTTTCTCTAGAGAAAAAAAGTTTTTCTCCAATGTTATTTACGGTTTAGTAACATATTTGTATTACATTACACTGATAATTTGATGTCATTTTAAAGACAAAGGCAATCTCTTTCACATACTTGTTCTCTATTTACATTTTATTTAAATACTTTTTCCTTCAACTCCGTAATAATATCTGACTCTGGTTTATAGATAGTTATACATATCTCTAACTGCAGGATTTATAAGAACTTCCAAGCTGCCCTTCCTGGTCTGCATAGAGTGAATTCTCCAGAGAAATCTTAATATTAAACCAGACTAAACATAAGACAAGCAATGCAGCTGCAACAAATTATTTGATATTATCTCCCTCTGTTCAGAATTTGGTTGTGTAGTTTTGCCATTCACCTTCTAATCCACAAGGATTGAAATGGAAAACTTTCATTTAGCTCTTCACATGACTACTTCTCCCACCTCCTTAAAATCTTAGCTCAAATGTTACTTTTTTTATAAGGCCTAGCCTGACCATCTTACTTAATAATTAACCCACACATCCCTCTCCCCTAACCCTAGCACTTTTCATGCCTTTACTATGCTCCACTTTTTCTTCCTTTCATTTTTTGTTTTGCTTATAGAATCTCTCACCTTCTAACATTCCATGTACATAATTAATTTATTTGTAATGTGCCTTGTTTGTTGTCTCATTTCCCCAGAATCTAAACTCCACAAAGGCAGTCATCTTTGATTGTTTTATTTACCAAGTGGCTAGAACAGTGCCTGGGACATGGCAGGTATATAATAAATGTTTTTTAAATGTATAATGAATTTGGATGATAAGAACAATAAATATAAAAGATGTATCAAGGTGATTCAAGTCGCCAAAGATAAAAATTCTCTGGAGAACAGACAAGGAATCTGTCTAAATGAGAAAATGGTCTTATTTCTCTTCTAAACTTCCATTTTTTTTGGTGGCAAAATGGATGCTTATTTTACCCCTAAAATTTTGTCAGGTACTTAATCTCTCTGGTCTTTAATCTTTGCATTTGTAAAATGAGTGGTTTGAATTAATTGCTCTTTTAAGATGTCCTCCTCTGACAGTCTATTGAATAATGACCAGTAGGCAGGTCAATGAAATGAACAAAATAATTTAGTCAAGAAAATTATTGGTCCCAATAGAATTGGTGTTGGTCCCAATTCTATCTCATACACACACACACACACACACACACACACACACAGCAATGCGACCTTGCATAATCATTCATGGACTCAGTTTCCTTATCTACAAAATGAAAGAATTGGACTAGATAATTACTAAGGCAGTTTGAGTTCAAATATTTCATCGCTGCTCTGCATAAAAAGAGTTACTATTTTGCTTTGTTTTCCCTCCTCCTTCTGAGCTATTTTTTTTTTTTAATGATGCATGTATCATGACATGTGTGAAAGAATGACAGTGCCCACCCTCCAGGTCCTTCCCTTTTGAGGATGCTTCCTCCCTTCTTACCCTCAGGGAATCCATCCCAGATTTCCAGCCGGTCATAGCGACAAAATATTCCCCCTGGAGGATTTGAGTCAGGCTCTAGGTCAAAGCTTTCAAATTCCAGGATGATCTCTGACATCTTTGGTGCAAAGATAATATAAGTGCATTCAAGGCTGTTGGGATATTTTTCAGGGAATCCAGGGGACTTAATCACTCCGCTAGGGGTTGTGTAGTTCTGCGAACACTCAGGACCTGGAATAAAAGAGAAAAAGGAGTAAAGTGAAAATCCTCTTAAATAACTTCACCAAGAAATAACCTGGGCAAAGATAGCATATCTTTCTAATAAAAGCCTACCATTGTAATCATTGTCCTAATTATTCATTACTCAATCTTTTTATAGTAGTGCTAGGTATGGAAAGTCAAATTCAGATTTATTGTGTTCACCTTAGTTTTCCATTTGTGTGGAGCAATTTAAAAACTTCTGCTGTTGCAGAGAAAAAAATGACAAATATAAAATCATGTGGGAACAATGAATGAGTAAGCTACAGAAATCTTGACAGAGCCCTAGAGAAATAATTATAGCCCCTTCAAGCTTAAATCCTTAAATCTTGAGGCTGACAGCTCTTTATTGGTGAAATAGGACATTTACAAAGGCGAGGGGGAGAATTCGATGGAGAGAGTTTGGGTTTCAGATTCCTACACGAGTGACTCAGTAACTTTGCCAGATGTGACCTCTGCCTTTTGACAAACTAAATGTGAAAGGTAATTCGTACATGTACCCAGGGTGAGTGACTCATTCTGAGTGGTGTTGACACAGGTGTGCTGGTAAAGTGTGGCTGCTAGTGAGGGCACGATAAACTGTGATTACAGGCTGTGTTGCTAGAAGTCACCTGACATTAATGTTGACACCCTAACCTTCCCCAAAGTATCAGATACAATACTGTCTGCTATCCTAAAATTATTTGTTCATATATATGTGTGTGCATGTAATGTATATATTTACAGTGTGAGATTTTAATGACTGTTCAGTGTTACCAAGATTTTACAAATTATATTAAGTTGGTCAAGTGTATACGTACATATATTGCAAGTTGACCATATAACTCCCGAATGACCACAGTTTCAGTTCATGGTATAGCACTGAACAGGGTGGCATTCACCACATTGCTGAAAAATTGACCATCAGCATGGACAGGAGCATAACAGCTCTGCCCCTTATCACCACCACCACTGCCATGAATCAGAGATGATTTGACCCTTTTGAATCTCAGGATCCAACCTAGGGATGTCCAACTCAACAATTCTTTTCTTGGGCCATTGGTCTCCCTGATGGCACCCTATGATGACATGCAAGGATTCAACTCTAAATAAGAAGGTTTTTTGAGCTCGTTCTTAACTAAACATTCTCCAAAAGTACCAAATACTACAGGCAATGTATTAGGCATTAACACAGATTAAATTTAACTAGCAAATCTCTAGATTTAGTGGCTAGAGTTAGTAGGCTGAATCCAGCGCTTCTGGCCACTTATTGAGAAAACAGATCAATTGCTTTCTTCCCATGCAATTAGATCTTCCTGGCCCAGGAGATGCAAAGGAGTGATGCTGATTAGTCTAGCATGATCAGCCTGGTCTGTAGCAGGCTGACTTATTTAAAATACCTCCCAAAGCCTTCTCAATGTGGCTCAGCCTTCACCGTGATGGCCTCAAATGCTTATCTATTCGATTCTGGTTAAAAAGTTATTAGTATGTGGCATTTTGCAATGTCAGTTCCACGAAAAGAGATTATGAAATACACTATATAATTTATAATCTGTTTCTAAGTTATTTGGTGGCTTCTGAGATGACAGTGACTATGCTAATTTAACTCCTTAATTCATAAAGAATATGCATGTAAGATACTGGAAACCCTTTAGAATTTTATTTCTAAGATGTAGGAACAGTGACCCTGCAAACCTCCAACCACCTCCTTGGGGTAAAAAAAAAAAAAAAAAAAAAAATTGCTTTGAGTAGGCCCTTGTAAAGCAAAGCAAACAGCAGAGTTTAATGCAGGTACTAACATTTTTTTTCCTTATAAAATTGTCCAGGCAAGATTAAGATTTAATGAGAGAAAAAAATGACAGTAATCAAGGGCATACTTTCAAAATCAAATAAATGTCAGTGCTTTCATTGTGTCCTTGTCCTGTCAAATACCTTTGGAAGCTAGCTCAGGTTTTTTTAAGGTATTTGGCAAAAGCTGGGGAAATCTCAGGCAGTGATGGAAGAGAACTGGCTTGAGCACAAGAAGGTCTGAGTTCAGGTCCTGTTGTTACCACTAACTTGCTGTGCCTCAAAACCTTTCTGGTCTTCATAACCTTTCTGGTCCTCAGATTCTGTGCATAGCAAGTGGAGGACTGACTTTGGGATTAGAAAAAAAATCTCTTTAAACTTAAAGATTCTGTAATTTCTTAGTTCTTCCATCATGCATCAAAATTTGTTTTGATATCTTTCATTTTCACCATTGCATAAATCTGCCACAGTTTAGCAAGTGCGTCCCCAGAAAGAACTGTGGCAGGAATGGGTTAAGGAATTCCGTAGTGAGTATACAAGAGAGGAACCAGAGGGAGGGCAAGTAGCCTAGTGTGCCTAGGGGCAAACGAGCTGGTGGTGCAAGATGTGAGATGAGGGATGTGCATGCCCAGCACTAGAGACGGCAAACCCCATGTTTTTGACATTGTAAGACTGAGAGCATGTTGTGTAGTTATAAGAGTGATACGGTTCATTGTTAATGACAATGAGAATGGATAATAATAATAGGTAAGATACTCTTTGGAATTATTATTAAATATGCAGAGTCTTAATCAAAAAATATATGAAGT